TCCCCTTTGCCCCTTTTCTTCCTATTTCACATTACCTATTACATGTTTTAGTTCTTATTTACACTTTCAGTTTCTCACACCAGAGAAACTATTTGGTATTTATACATATGTGTCCCATTTATTTCACTTGAGAGGCTAAATAGGACACATGTGTAAATACCAAATAGTTTCTTTAGTGTGAGAAACTGAAAGTGTAAAGGACTAAAAGGTATAATAGATAATGTGAAATAGGAAGAAAAGAAGCAAAGGGGAAGTGGGAGGGGTAGGGGAAAGGAAAGAAGGGAATGGAATTAACATGAGAAAATGGAAACAAAATAAATAAAGTTAGATGTTCTATTGGCACACATGTGACAAAAGTGGTTAAAAGAGCACAGATGAAACTATGATATATATTTGGAGAGACAGGATATTTCAAACTGAGTGTCCAAGGAAGGTCTCATTAAGAACGTAACAATTAAGAAGAAATAGGAATAATAAGAAAATAGAGTATTACAGGAAGGGAGTTGTGGACAAAGAGAACAGCTGAGAATACTAAAGCCTTGAGGTAGATAGAGATCTGGATGTTTGAGCAATACAGAATGTCTATATTAAGGTACCCATGGAAATATGGCAGGCCATAAAGCTGAGGATGCAGACAGGGTCCAATTTTAGAAATAAACAAAGGAATAGGGATTAACTACAAATAAATGCAAAGGGAAGTAGCTGGGGGAAGGACAAAGTCTATCCACCCTTTGAGCTCACTGTGGCTGCAATGTGAAGGGTGGGTTGTAGGTGAGCAGAAGGTCCACTTAGGAGTCTCTGGAGGTATCCAGGTGAGGCAATGATGGGGAGAAAGAAAAATTCAGACTGCCACCTGTTTTGAAATGCACCTTTCTGTGGTTTCTATAATCTTCAGCTCCTTGATTCTCTAATTTTCCTTCTTTCCTGGTTCTCTTAACTTTTTCCATATGCCAGTACTAGAACTAAATCAATACTTGTAAATACAATACTTATAAATTCTTTTGGGGGGTGTGTGACTGAAACTAAGGCCTTTGCACAGAGTTACATTACCAGCCCCTGGCCTCTTTTTTTGGTCCTGGGGATCAAACTTGGGACCTTGCGCTTGAAAGGCAGGCAGTGGAACCACTGAGCTAAATCCCTGGCCCCACCTTCCTTTATTTTAAAATAAGGTCCTGCTAAGTTCCTCAGGTAGGACTCAAACTTGCAATCCTCCTGCCTAAGCCTCCCATGCTGGGATCACAGGCCTGCTCGACTAAGCCTGGCTATTTACAAGTTCTTGTGGGTTTTTTTGTTGCTGTTTTGTTTGGGGTTTTTTTTGAGATAGGATCTCACTATGTAGCGTTCAGGCTGGCCTTGAACTCCTGGAGATCTTCCTGCCTCATCCTCTTGAATGCTGGGATTACAGGCATGCACCACCACACGTGGCACAAGTTCTATACTTGTGTTATCTATATTAAATTTTCATACCAATTCTGGGATCTTGACAGTACTGCCATTTAGATTTTGCACATGAGAATTCATATCTAAAAAAAAATGACTAAACCTGCCAAAGGAAGCAGAACTAATAAGTGACAGGACAAGAACTGAAAGTCACTTAATCTCAAATCAGATCTATCTCTTGCTACTGGATCACAATGCTGTCTTTGTCCTTCTGGTTTCCTTTTTGTCCCCCCATATCCTACCGAATGTAGCTACTCTCCAAGGTCTTTCTTCCTGGCTCCAGTCTCTCCTTTTACAATATTCTTACCTTGAGTATATTTCTCAAACCTCTCTTCCAGCCACTGAATGTTCTACCTTCCCCAATCCTGTTTCCAAATAGTGTAACATCTTTCCAGGAATGTTTGGTTCATAGCTAAATTCAATATTCCCCAAACTAAACTCATTTTTTCCCAAGTGCCTTCTTCCTTTGGGAAGCAATTATATTATTGGCACCACCATCCTCAAAACTAATTTCACAAGTGACTCTATTTTCTCCCATAACACCAATATTTTTTTTTTTTTTGGTACCGGGGGATCCAACTTGGGTCCTTGTGCTTGCGGAGCAGGCGGCGAAACCACTGAGCTAAATCCCTGGCCCCCCATAATACCAATATTAAGTTAGCTGTCCAGTCCGAAAGGCTTGTTTCAGAATCTGAAAAACAAGCACCATGTTGCTATGTCTAACCTGAGACCTTATCAGCTCTTATCTGGATGAAGGAAATCCTATGCAAATCTACTTGTTGTATTTTCTTTTTTCTTTTTTTTTTTTTTTGGTACTGGGGATCAAACTCGGGTCCTTGAGCTTGCGAGGCTGGCGCTGGAACCACTGAGCTAAATCCCCAGCCCTACTTGCTCTATTTTCACTTTCCTTTGATTTACTATACAGGTAGCATTGGATTAAAATCTTTTAAAATGTAGACCAGAAACATTTACAAATTTACACAGCAGCCAAAGCTTTCTATCATGTAGCTCCAGCCTATTTTTTTCTTTGGTACCAGGGATCTAACTCAGGACTTTGTACTTGCCAGGCAGGTGCAGCGCCACTTAGCTACATCCTCAGGCCTCCAATCTACTTTAAACTTCCCCTGCATCTATTCACTCCAGAAATAAAGACAGTCTAATTGATCATCTTTGTACCTTCAAAGGTGCTTAAACGAGTGCTTTGTTTACTGAGGAGTTGCTTAATAAATACAGGGTGAATAAACGGGTGAATGAATTTATGAAAAATTGTTAAGATCTATAGCCAAAACATTTTGTAGGAGGGGTAACTCTACAAAATGTTACTTCTGCAAAACTAAAAGAAGATACTTATTAAAAATTAAAAGAGAAGTTAATACACTACCTTTCCTTCTTAATGGCTACTTTTGAAATTTTTAAGAAATTCATTTCTACTTACCTGTTGCTGAAATCTAACCATATTCATTAACTGCTGAGCTCCAGGTGATAACTTTGACCCCATGGACTCCATCATGGTTTGGACTTTGTCAAGGTCTATCCTTGATCCTAGAGCAGGACAGCCTGGTGAAGAATTTGCTGAAATTGGTCTCATATGCACCACAACTTTACCGATGAACACACACTGCTTTTCACCAAAGGACAGCAACTATTATGAAACAAAAGAGTTCCCAGGAACAATAATGGCTTTTAAAACAACTATCATTTAAACTCACGTCTTGACATTACCAGAGCAAGAATGAAGTACAGTATTTAAGAAACTAAAAATTAACTTCAAGTATATTTTTACTTTTCTTTAGACGAGGTAGGAAAATTCCAATTTGTCATGAAGCTCAGATGAACTACATAAATAAATAAATGCTTTCAATTTTGTAACTATCAACTAAACTAGGAAACTAGTTTTACTTACTAAATTTGAGGGAAAGTAAACATACCAATCAAACATACCAATCTGATACTTTAACATCCCACAATTTGCTATACTATTTAATAAAAAAATAAAGCTGTCCAGAAGCCCATACAGCACAGTATTTACTGTAATCCTAAATACAATTCATCTTTTAGAAACCAGAACTGTAAAGGAATGTCACTAAGGATAATCTATGATACCTGGTTATCATACATAAAGGTGAGTTCAGGGATTGTTATGTAACTCACTTAGTGTAAGTCCAGCTCGGAACCCAGCTCTTCTGGCTTCTATCCCAGCAGGTTTTCCATTGTTTTTGTTTTGTTGTTGTTGCTGCTACTTTTTGGAGATGCTGGGGATGCAACTCAGGGTCTCATGCATGCTAGAGGAATGCTATATAACTGAGGTATACCCCAGGTCTCCCTGTTTCACAGTCCATGTTTCTGAATCAAAAGACATTTTTGTGGATTTAGCTCAGTGGCACCGAGCCTGCCTTGCAAGTGCAAGGTCCTGAGTTCAATCCCCAGTACCCTGTGGGGGGGGGCATATATTTTATGTGTAGTAGTATTCACAACAGCATAGTAAAATGAAAAGTAACAGGTTATAAATCCAACATTCCTCGGTTTAAATTAGGACTCTACTACTTAACCTGTGTGACCCTGGGCAAATGCCAAAAGTGAGTCAGCAATAAAATAAAACAATGACTTCTCATAGTGGTTGGGGGGTTTATGTGTGAATATACAGTGTCTGTCACTGTATAGCTGTATAGCACTGTAAACACTGAAAAATCTGTATCAGGAACATTTATTTTTATTTTAATTTTCATATAGTAGTACTGCCTCAGAACAAGTCTTCATACATACCCCGAGAGGTTCCCTAAATGAAATGACCCATTGAGTGCCCATGTGGTTCCATAATACAGGTACAAAAAATATTCACCTTGACATATACACACAGACCTACATGTCACAGACAGATCAATAAACGCCCATGCTCAAAAAAAACTGTGTGGCACCAAAAAATGTGACACCCCTCACCAATTAAAGAAACACATACTAAACTCATATCACACCTCTCAATCCCTCACTATCCCCCTTCTGTTTTATATTCCCTGTTCCTTTTATTACCTTGAATATGGTCCATATTTAACTCATTGAGATTGCTTATCATTTGTCTTGTCTCACCAGAATACAAGCAATATGAGGCAGGTATTTCAATTTATTTTCTTACGGCTAATTCTTAAACGTGGTATCTAGAATCAAGAGGCACTCACATTTTTGCTGAGTGAATAAATCACTTTATTTAAATTGCCTTAGAAGCAACTGTTGTTGTTGTTACCTAAACAGTATTTTGCAATGTCCACTTCTGTGTTTGCTCTTTATCTGCTATGAAAATCACTTATTTTTTATCTTATTCTAAAAGGAAATGTCAGTCTTTTATAAGATATGATAGGGGCCGGGGATTTAGCTCAGTGGTTCTGGTACCTGCCTCGCAAGCGCAAGGTCCCAAGTTCGATCCCCAGTACCAAAATAAAAAAGAAAAAAGAAAAAAAAGAAAAATATAAGATATGATAATAAGCAGATTTTAGAGATTTGATAAATCCAAGAATTTGCTTTTTTCAGTATTTTAACTTTATCCATGAAGTAGACCTAAACAGCTTTCCCAAAGCTAATGTGCCAGTCAGCAACGAACTGAATATTCACAGCTTAAGACTCCCAACTCAGTATGCTATTCCTAGACTTTGACATCATTAAAGTTCTCCTTAGAAATACTTTTCATGCTGAAGACAACAGTCTTAAATATCTTTAACTTTTAATTTCTCCTGTCTGAAACTTCTTATTCCATTCTTTCTCGATACATAGGGCCAAAGTTTTGCTTATAGGTTTAATTTTTTATTTTTGGCACTGCAGTTTTATATAAAGGTAAAAAATGTTTTAGCTGAGTTTCCCAAGGCTTTGAAGTAAAGCAATACTATATTAACAAAATATTTTTTTACCTTCAATAGTCACATTTTAAATAGAGAATTCAGTGTTAAAAAGGATTGGTCATTTTCAGGAAAGTACTTTCCTTTTATACATTATTTTTGGAATAAACAAGGGACCATGATGGACTAATTTTATGACCAAATCAGCAGAAAATAAGTACATGTAGAACAAAAACAACTTAGTTCTAATTTATATTGGTTAAAATTTGGTGATGACTTACCTTTATTTTACATGCATGTGTTGAAGTTTCCAATTTTAGGTATTTTTTGTACAAAATGATTTTATCATGTTCACTAAAAATAAAAAAGAGTCTTTTAAAAGGCTTGTTATCACTTTTAACAGTTATATTTAAAAATACATGTTTCCAGGACAATACTTGAGATTTTGTTTTCCTGGTGAGGCACAGGGGGTTGGAGTTCCAGACTGCATTGTATTCCTGGAAGGACCACACTAGCCATTTACTAGCTTTATGTGAGAACAGAATGAGGTAACGTAGGTACAGTCATGTAACATATAACATATTTTAAAGCTCAATTAATATCTGATAATACTATTATTTCCAACATGCGGAGGATATAAAATAATTCAAATTTTCAGTTATATTAAAGTAAAGCTGGGCTACAATCTCTGCAAGACAAGAGGAAAAACCTCAAAATTTTAATTTTATAACAGGTCAAGAAGGTTACAGGTCAAAAGTAGGCTGCTGTGGCACAGTCACAGATTAATACACCATTTGGAATGGATTTTCTGGAAGAGAATGTCTTCAGTGCTCCAGACTGATTTTTAAAAGACAGAGCCCTGGGAGTGAAAGGAAACTAGAAATACTTATCAGGGCTTCATTCTAATAAAACTCTTCCACTAATTACCTGTGAACTACTACCAATTCACCTCCATTAAATTAGCCATAAATTTATAAAAGTAACAAGGTTTACCTAGACCATAAGAAACCTAACAGACTGACCTATGCCTACAGGTACATATTTATCTTCTCCTTCCTAATGTCTGGCTGGCATCAATGTCAGGAAATCAATCACCATCCCCAAAGCTGAGGAAAATAAAAACATAAATATACAAGAACACTTCTGTCTGAACAAGCCACACACCTGCCATCCAGAATGGTGCAAACGCTACTGCCCCTACTGGTTCCACAGTATTCCTCTCCTACATATACTTCCATATTTCTTGCTGAACTTAAAAGGCCAACAGAATCGATTTCTTCTTCTCCCTTAGGGTCACATCTCAGGTAGAGGAAACAGGGGTTTCCTCCTCGGGGTCTTGGGCTGCTCTTCAAACTCACCAGATCCTGGCTGAGAAAAAAGTTGATAAAAACATTACAAAGTGTGTTTTTCTGAAGAGTGCTCCAAGCCCACTTACTTCTGTCGCACTTCTGTCGGGAGCAATGCTACATAATTTTAGGGAAAAATCATTTGATTAGCCTAGTTCTATTGCCTACAGCCCAGCTATGGAATTTGGAGACATAACTCCATTTTGGCCTCCGGTCAAAACCGATACCTCAATGATCCGGTGATGCTGTGATTCTTCAGGACAAGAAACATCCTGGGAGCTGAAAACATCCTGGGAGGAACAAACATCTAATCAGTTCCTCATTGCTCTTGGACTGTTACCATCTTGTTTACGCGGATGTACTGAACTCTATGCAAGTCATTTGTTACATTTGTTTCTCCTGATATACTGAGTACTGAATAAAAGGTGCGGTAAGCTGAGGGCTTTTGTCTTTGCCGCCCAGAGCAGCACTGATCAGACCCAAAGCTCAGCTTCTTCTCAGTCTCATTTTTCTACCTTTCCTGTAATTCGCGGTGTACTGCCGTGGCTCGCAGGAGACTAGGACTTACTGCAGACGTTCTTTCTAGTAACGTCCCCTTTCTCTGTTTCCTACACACTTCCACTTGCTCTTCGACCAAGCACCTTCTCAAACACCCATAGACCCTCAATGCAGAATCCACAAGGAATGGGGGCGTCATCCGCTGGGGCATTGCCCTCTATTTTCCTTTGATCATGGGCAATCTACTCAATCCTCTGACTCTTGAGTTAACTAAATGCATTCATTGGGCCTCCATTGTGTGCACAGAATAGACAAAAGTGCCTGCCAGAGTTAAGTAGACGCAGTTCTCTACCGTTGGTGGGTGTGTGCGTGTGTTTAAGCCCGTTCTGGTAGACAGCAGGGCTTTGCTCATTTTGGGGAGCGTGGTCCTGCTGGATTCCGACTGACAGGAGACCTGGCGGGCTGTCCCGAGGGGCACAGGGAGACGCTGCTGTCTGCGTTTCCAGGTCCCCTCCCGGCCCCACGCCCCGCAGTCTGGCCCACTTCCCTCCCCGGCCCGGTCCTTGAGCCCGGCCCTGTCTGCACCTCGCAGCCTCCGCTCCGTTCGTGGTCCCGGCCCGGACCTTGTCCTCTCGCGGCCCCGGCCCCCCTCGCTCCTCCCCAGGAGCCTGGCTGTCAGCGAGCTCAGCACTCCAGTCCCCGCCGGCCCGGCTCACCCTGGGGCAGGCGGCGCCAGAAGCTCCTCCCACTCGAAATTCTGGGCGCCGGGCCCAGTCTGGGTGAGAAGGAGGCTCTGGGTCAGCGCCCCGTTCGCTGCATCCCACGAAGAGGCCAGCGTCGGGCGGCGGGTCAATCCCGCGTCCCCAGTCTGGGTCTCCATTCCGCCGCCTCCAGCCCACGCCAGGACCGGAACCGCTCTTGCATGTCTTGTGTTTCCGTCCGTGCAGCGTGGAATTGACGCAAAGCGACTTCCGGCTCGTCCAGCTGCACGCCGAGATCCACGGCTTTACTGTCCAGAGCCCCGCAAGGCAAGACACGCATGCGCCTGCCATCAGGCTTTAGGAAGGGCTTTCAAATTATGCGGGCTAACCGAACGAGGGCGGAGCTCGTACCCTGACCGCGTCCCCGACTTTCCAAACTCTGAGCAGGCGCAGTTTGGGGAGTTGTCTGTGGAGGACTAGGAAGTGGCGCGTAGGGCGTTTGCTTGGCTCTTGGGTTGGGCGGATCGGATGAAGAGCAGACGTGGTCGGGTAGCTATCCTGTAGGTCCTGGTGACCTTCGGAGTGGACGCCAGGGCCTTTCCCTCCTCCAGTCTGGGGCGCGCCAGGAGTATTAGGGGCGGCGAGAGTAGGGCACGGGCCATGATTCAGGTTTTCATTGCTACCCATTGTAACAGTAGAGCGTAGTGGAGGTGGAGGTGGGGAGTTGGGGTCCGGTGGACGTCGCCGGGCCTCGTAAAGCTGCGACAGCCTTTGGCCACAGCCCTCTCGACCTGGCCCAATTTATAGAAAAGTGGACTGTTAGAGTCTCAGAGTTGTGTTTAGGTGGTATAATCTCTAGAAAATGAAGTTTTACTCCTCTGATATTGCCTCAGAACTTTATTCATCATTCAGTGCAAATTATGTTTGAATTTTCTTTTTGCTTAAATTTTCATTTGAGTTCGTGTACATGCCGTCTGGCAAACAAAAGGTGGAAAAAAAGTGACTGAATGTATTTTTCTCTAGTCACTGGATTTGAAGTGAATTCACATCAGACTGAGAAAAACCAAAGGTCTAATTATGTACAGTTTCCAAAGATTTTTAATTGTAAAGGTCCTAGTTTGCAAATCTTTTTTTTTTTTTTTTTTGGTACCAGGGATCGAACTTGGGACCTTGCACTTGCGAGGCAGGTGTCGGAACCACTGAGTTAAATCCCTGGTCCTTGCAAATCATTTTTAATACACCAGACTCCTTCTAAATTGTCATCGTCATTATTTCTGTTCTTTATTTCCTGGTTTCTCTGGTAGTAAGTTAACTTTGACTCACATTAATATATGTGGACAGTCCAAAGGAAAGTAGGCTTTACATGAGCAAGATCAGTATTAACATTTATAAGGCTGATAGATAAGGAATCAGAAAATTAGAGATTCCTATGGTCTCCCCTTCTTTCAATCCCTTACAACCAGTAAGTCACTAGCCACCACCCATACACACACATACACACATTGTACTGGGGATTGAACCCAGGGCTTTTGCACTGAAGTACATCCCCATCCCCTTTTTTCATTTTGATACAGGGTGTATTAAGTCTTTAAATTGCCCCGGCTGTGCTGGAACTCGGAATCCTCCTACTTCAGCCTCTTAGAGTGCTGTGGTTACAGGCCTACACCACTATGCTCAGCTCTGCGTTTTCTTAAAAACTCCTGTCTTTTTTCATCTCTGCTTATGTTTTGTTTTGTTTTGTTTTGTTTTGTTTTTGGTACTGGGGATTCAACTCGGGTCCTTGTGCAACAGCAGGCAACAAAACCACTGAGCTAAATCCCCAGCCCTCTGCTTATGTTTTGAAGCACTCGCTTCATCAACAGTTCCAGGTGTTTCTGTATTAATCATTAACCTGTCTTCTCATCACCTACATATCAGATTCTGCTGCATTGCCCTTTGTCCCTTCTGGTGATTGATCCTGCTAACTGAATCCTTTACTCCTTAAGATAGCATGCAAAGTCCTTTGTACTCTGACCCTACTCTGCCTGCCTCCCAGTCTTCTCTACCTGGACTGCTATTTCTGTTTTTTCATTCACAAGCTTCCACTCTGCTACAGAATTGAACTAATCCCTCTGTAATACACTGCACTTTTTTAGGCACTATAAATCTCTTGCAGTGTCAGATTTTGCCAGTTTATGTATTTGTGTTCCCTACTAAAGTCCCGCTTGCTGAGATTAGGCATTACCTTGTGCCAGTAGAATTGTTCATTATGGAGTTAATAAACTGATGAGAGTTAGCTTGTAGCTTTATCATCAGTTTAAGAGTACAAAAAGGCAAAACTAGTAAATTCAATTTTAGGCTTTTCTCAAAGCCTTTATGATTATGATTCAGAGCTGATCACAGTCTTAATACTATAAACCAGACATGGTAGTCCATGCCTATAATCCCAGCACTTGGGAGGCTGAGGTAGGAAGATGGCTGTGCCCAGGCCAGCCTAAACTGGACTTTTTGTTTTTGAATAGGTTCTCACTATGCAGTTCAGGCTGGCCTTGAACTCACTATGTAGCCCTGGCTGGCCTCAAACTCCAAGCAACCCTCCTGTCTCAGCCTCCTGAGTGCTGGGATTACAGGCATGAGCCACCATGCCCAGCTGCCTACCTATTTTAAACAGTTCAGTTTATTGATATGTAATAGCTCAATATGCCCTGTAGAAGCATATTTCAATCTGTTTTCAGCTGGGTATGGTGACACATGCCTGTAATCCCAACTACTTGGAAGGCTGGGATGGGTACATTACTTGAGCTCGCAAGTTCAAGAGCAGTCCTGTCTCAAACAAAATCTTTTAGAATATGAGCCAGTACATATGTGAAAGATACATTTTAGAAGAAAGTGACAGGGTATTAATTTTCTTGCACAACAGTGCAACAATTTAGACCATCTCAATTTTATTTATTTTTTTGTTTTTCTTTTTTAGACCATCTTAATTTTAAATTGAGTTATTATATATGTCCTGTCTTTTACATAGGATTATACTTCCCAGCAAGGTAGTTATAGGAATTTAATTTCCCGGCTAGGACCACCTGAATTTTACTTCCTCCCCTCCTTTCCTTTTCCAATCCTTGCAGGTCCCATAGTGGTCAGGAATTCTTTCTCACCCTGCCTTAATACTGAGCCTGCAACTGAGGGTGGGGGGGGAGATTGACCTCTCTGTTCTTTCCCCTACCTTCGTTATTAGCCACTCTTCACTTCTACCACATTTATAACCTCTCATCTGGTTACCAATATTGTTGAACTGTGTACAATTTTTTGTACAGCCTTTCTGAGAAAATGTAGTAATACTATAGAGTTGACATTTAAGATTTTCACTTGTGTGATACTTTCTTGTCCTAAAATTATAATGCAGTAAAAGGTTAACTCAGGAAAGCCTGGGAGTGGCAAAGCTGCCTCTTCACAGTTCCTGGCAGATAACCTCTGAATATTCTTCCAAGTAAATGTATCTTTGTATAAATCTAGCTAGTTTGTATCTTCAGTATGCTTTATGGTGAAGAACCATGCTGGAACCATGCAGTATCAGTTTGACCTCTGGAGGGGCTGAAGACAATAAAGTCAGCACAGGTGTTCTGTGCCTGTCAGTGACCCCACAATAAACCTTGGACAACACGACTCCATTGAGCTTCCCTGATTGGCAATAGTGTGTACATGTTGTCATACATCATTACTGGGAGAATTAGTGTTGTTCATACATCTTCACTGGGATAGGACCTAGGTTTGCATGTGAGAGAAAATTGGTTGTGGGACGTCTCCATTGACAGTGGGAATGCTTTTTGGCTCATTTATTGCTCTCTCTAATTACTGGCAGTGCTTCCAAAGACCAGGTCAGTCTAAATATGGACTCTAATACCCAACCAGGCAATAAATATTTGAGTCCTTTCCCTTCACAAAGTTCCCCAACATGCTGTACTCAGCTTTTTTCTTTGAAGCATTTAAGGTGGGTGTAAAGGGAGAGGAGGGCAAAAGAGCACAGAGAGGCAGAGCCACCCAATGCCAGTAAGCAGGCTTTCTTTGTTTATATTTCAAGCAGTTGCCCATAATCCTAAATACTTGGGATTACAAAATCAAAATTTGGTAGGTTTAGGCTTACCAAATCAGTTTGTACATTTTTGCCCAAAGTTCTGTATCTCCTTTGCTGACCTCATTTACTTGAGCTTTGGCCACTTTATCGTTCAACAGCTACAGCCACATTGCCTATCAGCTGGGGCGGTATGACTTGCCTCCCCAGTGTCCTACACGAAGGAGAAATAAACAAGGTACCACTCAGACAGCTTCTTTCGTTCTTGCCCTTCACCACTCAGCCTGTAAAGATTTTAATAGGCAGGATACTAGGGGACCCTTACACCCACTCGCACCAACCACTTAGATAAGAGATTCCCAGGGAACCTCCTCATAGCCCCTAACTTGGATGGTAGAGACCTTTTGTCTTTCCCCTTCCAGAAAACAACTGCGTTGCATTTGCATGACCATTATACAAACTGGTATGAGCAAAACTACATACGCATTTATCTTTTGACTTTGTAATTCTGTGTCAGTCAGCTATTCATTACTATAACAAAATACCTGAAAAGAGCAACTTAAAAGAGGAAAGATTTATTTCCTAGTTCAGAAGTTTCATTTCGTGGCCAACAACCTCCATTGCTTTAGGGCCGTGGCAAGGCTAAAACATGGTGAAGGGCATGGTTGAAGAAAGCTGCTCACCTCATGGCAACCAGAGTGGTGGGAGGAGTTAGGAGGAAGAGAGAGACAGAGACTGATATCAGGCCTCTTTCTCCTGTTATCCTCTTCCTCCTGGGCCTCTACTCTATTGGATGGTGTTGCTCACATTCAGAGTATGTCTTCCCAGTTTGCTGTCCCACCTGCTAGTTGTCTCACAGACACACTCAGAAGTGAAGTATACTGTGCTAATTTCCTAGGTGATTCTCTAATCAAATTGACGAGATTAGCTGTGACATCCTTTTTAAAAGAATTTCCCCCTAAAGATACACTTCAAATAATACAAGGATTATTCATATCATATCCCTGCTCAGCTCTTCCTGGAGGCATGTTAATTACTTAAGGAGTATCTGTACCAGGTTTATTTGCCCTAAATTTACCCACCCTGTCTCATCCCCCTTGAAGACTGAACACACCAAAAATAACCAAAATAATTTTTAGGGTTTTCAGGGACATCCAGTTGCCATCTTTACAAGGTCTACTTCCCAACCCCCTGGAGTGATGCCTAGAAGACTTCAGTCATTGCCCTACACCTGTAGTCGCCTCAGATTCTCAGAAAAGCAGAACTTTGATGGTACCCTCTCCTCTCTGCACCCTCCAAACAAGAGCATTTATCTCCTGACGGGAATTGAATTGCCCCTTCAAGATGATGGCTCTCAGTACTACCTGGAAGAACCAGTCCTGAGATAATGATCTATCAGACTACAATCTGACCAGGATTACCTATGATGCCAGTTATGCAACACCTCCCAATAGCTATGCAAACCTCCACCTTTTATTCCCCTTTTTATAAAACCCCAAAGCTTCTATAGGCCCTAAGAAGACAGATCTTGAAATTCTTTATTTGTCCCTTCGTAGCCATGCTGATTAATGCTACTTCCCTGCCTTTCACTGCTGCTTGTCTCCTTGATTGGCATTATGAGTCTACTGCCAATGTTAGGCAAAAAGTTAGACATTAGCAGGTCTGAAGACAGGCACCTGGACACTACTTAAGAAGCAAAGATGTAATCTTTCCCCCTCTTTTCCTTTGCTTTTAAAATCATTAGCTATAAGTAAAATCCACACAACCATTTTGTTACCATGGAATGGGCAAATATAGTCCAAGCTTGTTATGGCTTGGGTCTAGAGTTCCCCCCCTGCAAGCCTCATGCAGTCATAGGTAGGGAATTTTCAGAGGTGGCTGGAGTATGTGACCCTGGGACCAATTCATGGTCCAATGTTAGGTTCAAGGGTGCTGGGATCAAGGGTATGAGTGCTACCCACCCTAAATAGCCCAGATAAGATAGAAGGGATAGAAAGCACTGTGGTTTTCCCTTGCTTGCTCTGCTACCTACTGCCCACCATGAGCTGTTTTCTCCTCTGCCATGCCACCTGCCTTGGAGCCAGCCGACTATGAACTGAAAACTCTACAAACTGTGAGCTAAATAAACCTGTCCTCCTTTAATTTTGGGTATCAGATATTTTGTCTTAGCAATAAGAAAAAGTAACTAAGACAGAATTTGGTACCAGAGGAGTGGGGTCATTTCTGTGACTGAGCCCATAAAAAATGAGCATTTACTAATGCCAAAGACAGGAATGTCATCTTAGATGAAGAACACATACCCCATCTCTGGGTCAAATGAGCCATCAAAATTTTGCCTGTCCAGGAGAACACACATGAAAATGATGTCCCCACTTAAGAGTTCTGGGCAACAGTCTCCCAGGTACACGAAATTGAACCTGAGAACCTGTGGGAAGAACTGACTTGTAGGTGAGACAAGAAGGAGCTCTTTCCTAAAATACAACATTTAAGGGACCAAAACACATTCAGTTTAAGGGAGAATCCCCCACCTCCTGGTGCTCTCTCTCTCACCCCTCCTAGGCCTGGTTCTCATCATGTGTAGGGGAGGGAAACACTTTTGCTAATGTGTAAGTTATAATTGCTGGACAGTGGGTACAAGTTTTCACCTGTGAGTTTCATGTATGTTACACATACAGAAACATAAAAATTTTGAAGTAGATTTTGAGTAACAGCCTTGTCTTGCTCTAGGGCCTAGGTGATTAGGTAGACAGCAAAATATTTTGGGTACTTCTTTACCCTAGGACCCAAGGCAAGATTTTTCTGAGCCATTACTCATCTCTATCTCTGGAAGTGGTCTCTTTTTGCAGGCTGAGAGGTGCTCCAATCACTTTCAATTTGCCCATTGATCCCCCCTCCTTTCAAAGAATTGGAAAGCAGTTGTTTGGGTCTCTTGACTATTGGTTTAGTTTTGCTAACAATGCTTCCTTCTTTAAACATGACTGTTGTAGCTAGAATTAACTGTAGCCTGTGCTTTTAGAAATGCAGGCTAGTCTGACCTGACCTATCTTCTGGTCACTGTCCAGATAACAGCCACCTGCTCTAGAGCAGGTCACCTCAGGGGATGCCTTGGGGGCACATAGAAACCAAGTAGGGATTAAAAGGGATGCCTACTTTCACCTAGTTGTTTCAGATGGGAAGACTATTCTTAAGCATTGAAAATTATTCGACTCTCACATATTGAGAAAGAGCTATTTAATATTTTTCTGCACCTGCACATAGCCTGCCTACCTCCTAGAGGTAAAATGCAGAGGGAAGTATTGATTATGATATTATTTCACAACTAGAATTGCACTCTAAAAGAGAGAGAGAGAATGGTCAGGATTACCTTATGTTCAAACTTCCCTTACATTGAGAGATAATACTTACTTTTGTTCAAAATGTAAATAAATGAAGCCACAGGAAAACCAGATGCCTTTGGCCCTTAAGGCACAATCAAGTGCATCTATTATCACTGAGCCTGAGGTTCCCCTCCCTTGCCCTTTGGACCCTAAGGATGAGGTTTCTAAGGCACCCTTAAAGCCTCATCCACTATCACTAAGCCTAAGTATTCCCCTCACTTACCCTTCGGACTTTAAGGGTAAGGCTTCCAAGCCAAATTTAATTGATGTCTCTATAGGCTATACCCGTCCTTATCTGATTTTGTTCAAGCTCCTCAAGGTCAGTGTCCCTTACGGGAGGTAAATGGAAAATTTAGCATACCTGTGCCCATGTATCCTTTTCTCTCAGTGATCTCAAACAGATCAAACAAGATCTGAGAAGGTTTTCAGACGACCCTGAAAAGTACATTGAGGTCTTTAGGGGACTTACTCAGATCTATAAACTAGGCTAAAAAGTTATAATGTTACTCTTAAACATTGACTTCTAATGAGAGACAAGGAGCGTTACAAGGTCACATTAATTTTGAAAGGCCAGAAGATAAGCAGCCAGGGGAATAGCCAGTTCCTAGCAGAGCCCAAACAGTCCCTACACAAGCTCCCTACAGGCCTACCAACCAGATGGGAGAGTGGAATAGAAGACATCTTCAGACATGTATTCTTAAATGTCTAAAATAGATGAAAACTAAACCTTTCAATGATTTAAAATTGTCAGCTATTCAAGAGAAAGATGAAAACCCCTCTGGCTTCTTAGATTGTTTACAAGAGACACTGATAAAACATACATCCCTGGCTCCTGATTTAATAGAAAGACAGATTATTCTTCAAAACAAGTTTATTACACAGTCAGCTTCAGATATTTTTTTTAAAAAGCTACAAAAGCTGGCTTTTGCTCCAGATGGCTCACTTGATGCTTTAGTGAGAATTGCCTCCTCAGTACTTCATCCCTATCTGGGCAAGAAGAGGCCAAGAAAAAGTGACTGCATTGGTTGTGGCTTTAAAAGAACTAGACTCTAGGGCCTGGGATTTAGCTCAGTGGTGCTGCCGCCTGTCTTGTAAGTACAAGGTCCTGAGTTCGATCCCCAGTACCAAAGAAAAGAAACAGATTCTAAGTCTGATTCTCGGGGCTCCAAGAAGAGCTCAACAACTAAACTCACCTGCTACCACTACAGAAAGCCAGGCCACCTTAGGAGGGATTGTGATAAGAACCATCACAACCAGAGGCAAGTGAATCATGGGAGCCCTATAGGTAAATGTGGTGTTAGAAAGTGTGACCTGGTCAAAAGAGGTAGGTCGCTGGTTGCATGATCTGGAAGGGTATATCATCCCTGGTGTCTCTCTCTTTCTCTTTCTTTCTCTTTCTCTCCCCCGTCCCCATGTCGAGGGCAGCTTTTGTCCCACCGATTCTTCCACCATGTGGCTCCTGCCTAGAACCAACCAACTATGGCCCGAAACTTCTAAACTGTAAGCAAAAACAAGCTCTTTTTGGGTTTATTTTGTTGTTTTTTTTGGGACAGGCTCTCTCTATGTAGTTCAGGCTTGTCTTGAACTACATAGCCCAGACTGGCTTTGAACTCCCAAGATCCTCCTGCCTCAGCCTCCTGAGCGCTGGGATTACAGGGGTATGCCACCACGACCACTGTAATATCTGTTCTTTTAATTTGTTGGTGTCAGGTATTATATTTCAGCTATGAGAAAGTGACTAAGGTAGCTTTAGAGGATGAAGGATAAATGTGAACAGTAAATTAAGCAGAGCGAACTTATAATGGACCAATAATGATAAAACATCATGAAATGAAGAGTAAGTTTAACTCAATAATCTTCATTTTCAAGCCAAAAGAAAAAAAAAAGAGATATTGTACGTGTATGTGCTTTGTAATCACAAATTATATCAGGTTTGGCAGTGGGTTATTGGTTGTACTTTGCCCAGTACACACTGATTCTATCTTCACGTGTTCGCCACATTTTGAACACACCTTTTATGAATAAGAAGTAATCATCTCCTAAAAATATGGTGAGAAGTAGAATCTGAATTCGTTTTTCACACTCCCAAACAAAAACTTGCTTTTCTCCATGTCTTAGTATTGCATTTTTAACATGAAAATGTCTACCATTCTCTCACGCAGGTAGTGGAGCTAAGGTCGTTCTCCCTTATACCCTGTTACTGTCTTTGCTGCCCACCGTAGGGCGTGTTAATGAATATTTGCTTTGCCCGTGCACCATTCACAACCGGAGCAGAGCGCGGTCCTCCTTTCGTCCTTTTTTTCCCATTTCCAGTAATTTACTTTTCAAAGCCTTCTGGAGGAAATCGCTTCTGGATTTCCCTGAGCAGGGGGACTTCATTGTAACAAAAAACGAGGGGCAGATCCTAATGGCTTGTGTTTGCGGCAGGGAGGATGATTCTATCTGAAGATTAACCCCAACTCTGGGATCTTTTAGGAATGTCCAGGAGAGAGGAAACGCAGAGCCGCGAACTCCCGACCAACCCTGGTTGGTAGTCCTGGCCGCAGAGGCAGCTGGCGCCTACACTGCAGGTGACTCTGGAAAGCAGCCTGGACTTTAAACCTCGTCTATTCCTCCGCGTGGCGGTAGGGGGCGCAGCAGGACGGCGCGGGGCACTGCGCGTGCGCGCTGAGTGGCTGGCGTTCGGAAGACTCGGCTCCCCGGGACAGCAGAGACAGCATGAATCCCGCCGAGGACGCCAAAGGCACCGACGCCGAGAGGCCGCGGAAGCTGGGACTCTGCCTCCTCTGCGGCTTACCCGGTGCAGGAAAGTCGACTTTCGCGCGAGTCCTAGGCCACTGGCTGCGGCAGGAGCGGGGCTGGGCCGTAGGAGTCCTGTCCTACGACGACCTGCTGCCCGACGAGTTCCTGGACAGTGCGGGCGAGCAGCCGCCGGTCAGCGCCGGGAGGGCGGGCTGGAGGCGCGGGCGCGGCGGCGCAGCTCCGCGTGCGCACCGAGGTGTGCTGTGTTGTTTGTAGCGAGGACCGTGTGTGCACTAGGCAGCATCTCCTGTGGGAGAGGAGCCCTGACAGGCGAGGAGAGGCAGGAATTCGAGGACCCTTGAGCAGGATTGGCACTGGAAGGAGGGAAAGAAAGCACCCAAGAAATATATCACAGAATAGTTAAAATACAGCCGTTTTAGAATGATGCATTGTGGAGGTTTATGTGTACGTTTATGTATTGCATAGTTTATACTTTGGAAGTTTGGTATTTTGGTTTACCTTGAAAGTTTGGCATTTTGAGACCGGATCTCGGTATATTGCCCAGCCTGGCATTGAACTGGCTTCAAACAGTCCTCCTGCCTCAGCTTCCTGAGTAGCTGGAATTACAAGCGCCTGTGCGCCCTACACTGCAGTCTTAAGGAAGGGCTAAATTCTAAATTCATTGTGGGCCTGGGATTTAGCTCAGTGGTGCCGCCGCCTGCCTGGCAAGCGCAAGGTCCTGAGTTCAATCCTCGGTACCAATAAATAAATAAATTCAGTGTGCAAAGTGGAAATATTTCCTAGTCAGATGTACAGTTCATAGCCCTCTGGGAAGTTTCTCCTTAGGCAAAAGAAGGAATCTCCAAAAGATTTTAACATCGCCAGTTTAATTGAACTTTATATCATTGGGGAAACCCTCTTTAAGAAAAAATATAAATAACAGAATTGCTAGTGGCTCTCCTAGAAAGAAAGAGGCCGTCTAGGGGGCTGGGGATTTAGCTCAGTGGTTATGCCGCCTGCCTTGCAAGTACCTGAGTTCGATCCTGGGTACTGCCCCCCCCCCAAAAAAAGAAAAGAAAGAGGCCTTCTAAGTGAAGGGTCTGTCTTTATCTTCTAAGGCTTATCTTCGTTCCTCTCAGGGCAAATCTGCATTGGAAGCTGTTGTTGATAAGGATCCTTGTATTTGTTAGCTTTTCCCTCACTTTATTACTATTATTTTTCTACTCTTCTTGTACAGTTAGAGCCCATGGGACTCATTTGGTCACCATGATTAGAAAAATCTGCAGTGGGTTTAGTGATATACTTCAGCGTGGTGTCATCCCATTGATGTGGTAAGGCCTGGCCAGCCAAGAGAGGGACCTTGCTCTCCTGCCCTCCTGTTTCCCTCTAGCCTTGACTTCAGAATATCAGCACTCTCCACAGCCCTTGACTGACATCAGATTATGTCAAGCTGTCTGTATTCTTCCCCTCAATCGTTCTTTCTTCTCCAGCCTCCCACCAGCCCAGTGGATAGCCTGAGGTCTCTTCATTTTAACCCCGGCACCATTCAGCTGACCATCTTGGTGTCCACAGCCTTTGTCATTTCAAGGGGAAATCAGCATGGTTATATTTTAGCCAGACTATTTTAATTTTCAGGATATTGATTTTGGTTCCCTGGATGGTAACAGCTTTTCATTCTCTCGTTTGTACTCATTGGTTTGATACACATTTCTAGAGCACCTGTTAGATGCCACACTCTTGGCTGGAGGCTGGTTATACAGTAGACCAATGGTCTAGCAGAGATAGAGAAACAGATGCCTGACAATACAAGCCCTGCTGGAGTGGAGACCTGGTTTGTACAGAATGGGGTGCTGGGATAGGCAAGGGAGGGGCTCTGTTAAGTCAGAGGCCTCACACAGCGCTAGCAGCATGGTTTTCTAGGCAGAGGGAGCAGTATATACAAAGGCAGAGCCGTGAGAAACAAGGTGTCTGTAGAGAATTCCAAATGGTTTGGGAGTGTAAACTGAAATTTCCACATGGGGAAGAGTGGCAATGAGACTACATGACCACCCTACTGAAAAAAATAATATAAATTACTATTATTATATAAATTGCAATTCTTCTGTCTTTTATAGACATCCCAGTGGAAAATGTTTCGACAGGAACTGTTGAAGTACCTGGAATGCTTCTTGATGGCTCTCATTAATGGATGTCAGATGTCTGCCCCGTCCAACAAGACTGAAGCCATGTGGGAAGATTTTATAACCTGCCTAAAGGATCAAGATCTGATCATTTCTGCAGCACTTGAGGCCCAGCCTTTTTACCTCTTAGCAAAAACTGCTGTTTCTCGACCTTTAGTTTTGGTTTTAGATGACAACTTTTATTATCAAAGTATGAGATACGAGGTCTACCAACTGGCTCGGAAATGTAATTAAAACATTTTTTTCTTACACATGGGAATATTTATTCATACATCAAAATGTACGTTCAGTGAGAATTTAATTGCATTGGGGGTTATAAGGATTTAACTTTAAAACTAGGTTTTCAGTATTGCAAATGGAGTTTTTCTTGCTTCAGTTGGGATCTGTCTAGTATATATTTATTTCACAGTTTGGAAAGCTAGAAGACCACTAATTTGGTGATTTTAAACTTTTCAGATTCGTTAGGCTTCTGCCAGCTCTTTTTAGACTGCCCTCTTGAGACCTGTTTGCAGAGGAATGGCCAGAGACCGCAGGCGGTGCCTACTGAGATCATCCGCCTGATGGGAAGAAAGATAGAAAGGCCCAACCCTGAGAAAAATGCTTGGGAACACAACAGCCTTATAATTGGGAGTCCAGCGCATTCATCAGAGGCCAAGTATTCTATTCAAGCCCACCCTTCCCTGGTGCTCCCCCGGGCTCCATCTAAATAAATTCTTTACCCATACTGGCTTGATCCTCACACGATCCTTGAGAGTTATTTGCGTGGAAGAAAAAACTGAAGTGAGAAAGTGTAGTTTGTCCAGAGTCTCTGAACTCGTGACAGCCAAGTTCCTAAGGCTACTCTTAACTGTTAAGATTATACTGTCTCCCAAAAACTGGAGAAGGGAACTTGTAGTAGAACACATCTTTGATACTCTTGTCAAAATAAGAGTAGTCCAAATATGTTGCCCAGTAGTTTTCTTATACAAAGAAGTCTGTGGGCTGGGAATGGAGCTCAATGGCAGAGCACCTGCTTGGCATCCACAAGGCCCTGGGTTTGACTCCTAGCACTGAAAAAGAAGAAGAAAAAAAAAAAAACAAATTTTTTAAAGAATAGGAACTTGGGGCCGGGGATTTAGCTCAGTGATTTCGCTGCCTGCTGCGCAAATGCAAGGACCCGAGTTTGATCCCCAGTATCAAAACAAACAAACAAACAAAAGAATAGGAACTTGTACTGGATCCTAATTTGTCTCAGACCTTACTATTATTACTCTGTGTATATGAGAGGCATGTGGGTTCTCGTGTCTAATGCTATTTATGATAAGTCATAAGAATTTTAGAACAGTGCATTTTATTTATGATGGAAATGTTCTAGATTTGCACTGTCCAATATGATAACAGCTAGCCACATCTGACTATTGAGCACTTAAATGTATCTAATGTAACTGAATATCTGAATTTTTAGATTGATTTTAATTAGATTTAGCCTCACATGACTAGTACCTGTTACACTAGATAAGGCAGCTCTCAAGGTCCATTTAATATCTGTGGGGAATCAGGCTTTTTTTTTACAGTAATTTACTTTGTATTCCAGTCTGGTCATGAATTCACTACGTAGCCCAGGCTGGCCTTGAACTCATGACAATCCTCCTGCCTCACCCTCCTGCGTGCTGGGATCACACCAGGTTGCTGGGATCAGTAATTTTTAAAAGGCAAATTTTAAAACTCATTCCTCAAAATGTTTAGTTCCCAGGAAACAGCTCTTACACATTTGATAAAATTAATATACCCAAAACAAAAAATTGCATTTAGGTGACTGTGGTTTCTACAGTTTATGAAGCTACTGGTGAGGTTTCTAACTTTTATCATAATATCTTGAATTTTTTATTTTGTACCGGGGATTGAACTTGGGACCTTGAGCTTGCAAGGCAGGTGGTGGAACCACTGAGCTAAATCCCCAGCCCAATATCTTGAAATTTTGAGCAGGCACATAGCCAACTGATTGCTAATCTTTCTGGAATACTTAAAATTGTTTCCTGTGGAAGTTGAGTAGCTGGTCAAGGCAGTGGAATAGCTCGTGAGAGCACCACAGGGTTATCATCACTGCTTTGACACCTGTGAGACAGTCTTTGGTAGAAGCGTCTCTAGAATTACTGCCAGCTTTCACCATAATCTGCAGTTTTGGTCCTGGGTATTAAAAACCTGATTTACCTGTGCTCATCTCCAAATATTCAGAGGGCAGGTAACTGACGTGTACTGTGGAGTGTGGCAGCCCTGGATTGGAAGTTGAAAAATGACCTCATAAATATACCTTTTCTAGGCTCCATGAGTAATAATAGTAGCAAGAGCAATTGAGCACATCCTATTTATTGGGACTGTTCTGAACACTTTCTGTGTGTAGTCTCATTCAGCCTCACAATCACTCTTTAAGGGGATAATCACCATTTTATGGATGGGATGTGTAACATAAACCAGGTAGGAAGTGGCAGAGCCAAGATCAGGGCCCAGTGCAGTCTCACTGACTACAGAACCTTGGCTGTTCAATATGAGAAAGATAGCCTTGCAGTTGAGACCAACACAATGAGCTCCCTGACTTAGTTTTTCAGTTCTACTCCCTGTACTGAGTAAATTCAAACTCCTGACCATTAACTGTTATAATAACCTTGGTTAACTGCCCAGCTTCATATCCTATCACTCCCCCCACTACCACCTCCTTTGCTTTGTTTGGTGAGCACTAGAAGCTTGTTCTTGCCCCAAAGCCTTTGTATTTGCTGTCCCCACTCCCTTTCTCACATACTTATGCTGCTTGCCCTGCCGGACCATCTGAGTAGAGTGAAAATCATTATCACTTATTGTCTTCACTCACTCACTTATCACTGTCCAAAAGTATTTTGCTTATTTATCTGTCTTCACTATATTATCAGGCTTAGAGAGGTACTTTGCTATGCCCCCAGGTTAGTAACATAGCTGTACTATATATATATATATATATACATATATATATTTTTTTTTTTTTTTTTTTTTTTTTTTTGTACCGGGAATCAAACTCAGGACCTTGAGCTTGCCAGGCAGGTGCTGTGCTGCTGAGCTAAATCCCCAGCCATGTATAATATTTTTGATACAAAATGCTCAATATGTATTTGTTAAATGAATGAATGAATTCTTACTCAATCTTCTATGGACTCTTGAAAAGTGAGGAATTTTGCTAATCCTTGTCCAGTAAGTAAGTAGAAACCAGAAAGTAAAGACGAGCTGGGTGTCGTGGCACCCACCTGTAATCCCAGCCCTTGGAAGCTGAGGCAGGATTGCCCCAAGTTTAAGGCCACTCTGGGCTACACAGTGAGTTCTTCTGGGACTAAAATAGAGTGTTAACCAATAGTCCTACATAAAATATGGGAAAGGAGAAAATTATTTTTCAAAGCTTATAATTTATGAGTTTTAGGAAATCAGTATTTTGTAATTGCGAGGTGGTTTAGATTTTTTTTGTTAAGGATCATAGGTTACAGCAATTTTACTTCTCTAGAATTCAAATTAGCATTAGGTTTTTTTTAGATATTTGATAATAAGGACTTACTGTATTTTAATTCCACTTTCTCTGTAGCCTGGAAGTGGCTGACTTATTGCTTACTGCTTTGGAAAATCCAGTAAAATATGTTGAGGACAATATAGAACAAAAGGTAAGTCTTCAATGTAGAACTGATATAAACAGGAAGGAACAGCTTTTCACAGGTAGATCTTTTTTGTGCTTTCAGTGAGTAAAACATCAGATGCTTTGTCAGCAGCATCTGACCAGTATTCACCTGGTGACATCTGAATTCAGCAGTGAACTGTTAGCAGCTTGTCAGTTGCCCAAACCCTCTTACTAAGTTTTTGGACATGATACAGCCTGTAGACATTATGCTGGTAGCTTAAAATGTACAGGATGGAGGCCAGAGATTTAGCTCAGTGGTTCTGCTGCCTGCCTTGCAAGCGCAAGGTCCCAAGTTTGATCCCTGGTACCAAACAAAACAAAACAAACAAAATGTACAGGATGGGAATATTTATACAGAAATAAGCAAACACTACAGGTAAGTTCTGGGGAGTCTTTTTTTGGATACTCAGTTATTAGACATTCATCATTATACCACTGCCTAGTGGGAACCCAGTTTACAACTGGATGTGATTCATCTGGACCTTTTCTGAGAGAAAAATAACAGAAAAGCCACTTTAACTTTTCTTTTTTTTTTCCTGTGGCGCTGGGGATTGAACCTAGGACTAGGCAAATGATCTACCACTGAGCTACATCCCAGCCCTTTCTCTTTTAGTCCCTTATACTTCAGTGTTTTCTTTTATAAAACTGTTCCAATAACAATGCTTTTTTACATAGGAAACGGACAGGATTATTTGTTCAGCTAACATTTTTCATAAGGCTGATCAGACACTCCGAAGAATTGTCTCTGAGACAATGAAGGAAGCAAAAGGTATGTTGGATAGTAATGTGCTGTTTACTTGATGTAATAATTGACTCTGTATTGCTGTTATTTCCTTGGCATTCATGGAGTTTATTAGCTGTCAAAGTTTACATCATGCTTTCAGTTTAAGTCTGCAATTTCATTACATGTCTGTGGAGAAACAAGTTTCACAAAACACTCTCACATGTTTCATGAACTCTACTGTTTTATTTGCTTTCATCTTAGAAAAACACTGGTTGCTACACACTAGTAAGTTATAATCCAAAATTCGTAACAGAGGACAGGAACAGAGATGGCAGGATAATTAGAAGAAAAGCAAAAATAGTTCCAGGTGTTCTTTCTGAGCCATTTACCTTTCTTCTGTCTTATACCCAAATCACTCTTGATTATTTCCTACTCATTTAAAGAATTTGGGGGGGCGTGCTAGTTGCTAAATATGCTTAATTGAAATAAAGAATTCAGTTCCTCTACCATTAATAAAGTGAAAAGAACCCACAGATAGGAAAAAATATTTGCAAATATAGTATCTCATAAGGACAGCCAGGTGTGGTAGCACATACCTATAATCCTAGCACTCTGGGAGGCTGAGGTAGGAGGATTGCCAAGTTCAAGCCCAAACTAGGTAACTTAGAAAAAGGTTTGGGGATACAGCTCAGTGCAAAGGCCCTGGGTTAATCCCCAGTATCATTCATTAGACAGACAGACAGACAGACAGACACACACACACACACACACCTTGGTTCACAAACTTAATTTTTTCCACGAAACCAAATTGGACGAGAACTGAATCATATTTCCCTGTAAGGTCGGTTCAGTGTTGACCTTATGGGGAAATGTGACTCAGTTCTCCTCCAATTTGCTTTAGGACCAGAATTGTGGAAAGAATTAAGTTTGTGAACCGAGGTACCACTGTACAAATCAAAACTGTCAGGATACCACTTCATAGCTACTAGAAAGGCTAGAAAAAGTCCAGGTGTTGAGGTTGTGGAAAATTAAGAACCTTTATACCCTATAAAAACTTAACGCAAATGTTTACAGCTGCATGGTACCATGTGCCTGTATTCCCAACAGTCTGGAAGGCTGAGGCAGGAAGATTGCCGAGTTTGAGCCCAGAGTAGACAATTTAAGAGATTTAGTGACTCTACCTCAAAAAACAGAAAAGGCAGGCTGAGTATGGTGGTACATGCCTGTAATCCCACCATTTGGGAGGCTGAGGCAGGAGGAGGCCAGCCTGGGCTACATAGTGAGTTCAAGGCCAAACCTGAACTACACAGCGAGACCCTGTCTCAAAAAAAAAGAAAAAAAAAGAAAGAAAGAAAGAAAAAGAGAAGGCCTGAAAGGTATGAAAGCCCTGAGTTCAATCCCCAGTGCTGCCAAAAAAACAAAAATGAAAAACAAAAAACAGGGCCAGGGATTTAGCTCAGTGGTTTCGCCGCCTGCTGTGCAAGCGCAAGGACCCGAGTTCAATCCCAGGTACCAAAAAACCAAAAAAACAAAACCCAAAAAACGAAGTTTATAAAAGTAGTGTTTATAATAGTCCAAAGGTGAAAACAGCTGATAAATGGATAAACAAAATACAGTGTAACCGTATACAGAAATGGATTATTGTTATGGGATATAACATGGAGAATCTTGAAAATATGCAAAATGAAAGTCACAAAATACCACATACTGCATGACTCCTGTCATATAAAATGTCCAGAACAGGGAAATCTTGGGACAGAGTAGATTACTGGTTGCTGAGGGACTGAAAGTAGGGGTTAGAGTGGGTTTAGGAAGGTGACAGCTGAAGGGTACTAGTTTGTTTTCTGGACTATAAGAATATTCCAAAATTGACTGTAGTGATGGTTGCATGCATCTGTGGATATACTAAAAATTGCAGTACAGTTTAAGTAGATGGATTTATGGTAAGTGAATTATATATCAATAAAGCTGTCTAACAAAGCTTCAGATTCTCAGTAACACTGCCCATATGGCTAATGGCTGGTGTATCGAATGCAGCAGATACAGAACATTTCTGTTACTGTAGAAAGTTATATGGACAATTTCAAGGTATTCTCAGTTCAAAACCAAGTTTTCATTTTGTATTTTTGCTTTCTTGCCTTTCCAGGCAAAAGATACATTGTTGCCTTGGATCTTGTCAACAACAAAAAATCTTTTAGGTTTGTCTTTTTCTGCTCACATACTTCATAGCAAGTTAAATTCCTTGAACTGTTCAAAATGATTTTCCTGTATCACATTAATATGACCTTTTGTCTATAAATTATTCTAACTCATTACCATTTATAGAAGAATCTGACTGGTTTGACTGATGTAATCATGTTAATTTTCTGGGCCGGGGATGTAGCTCAGTGGTACCGTGCCTGCCTCGCAAGTGCAAGGTCCTGAGTTTGAAAAAAAGGTCCTGGTACTGAAAAAAAAAAATTAATTTTCTGATGTCATCAAGTAGCCCAGATTGATTTATAGAAATAATCTGAGAAAATTTTTTTAAAATTTTAGATGAACAAGTACTTCCTAACAACTTGAAGCTTCTAGCAGAAGAACTTAACAAGCTCAAAGCAGAAATTTTGGAAGACTTAAGGCAAGGAAAACTGTGCTTTCAACAAACCACTGGCATATCAGATGTCATTTCTTTTTTTTGTAATGAGAAAGATAATATTGTACAGAAATATTTTTCAAAGCAACACCAACATTAAAATATCTGATTACCAATAAAATATCTGATTTTGAAAAGCATTTGCAAACAAGTTTAAAGAATAATTTTGTGTTACAGGATGTTTCCTAGGACAATATGAATCCTCAAACACCATTTCTTTCAAAAAGAAAAGGGCCAGGGATCATTGCCTGCCTAGCAAGCTCAAGGCTGAGTTTGATTCCTGGTGCCAAAAAAAGGGAAAAAAAAAAAAAAAAAGAACAGAAGCCATGTGTGGTGGTACATGTCTGTAATCTCAACACTTGGGACCCTAAGGCAGGAAGATTATCCATTTTAAGCCAGCCTTGGCTACATAGTGAGACCTTGTCTCAAAAAAAAAAAAAGCAAGAAAAGTCAGTCTATTCTAGAAGATCCATTTGTTAAAACAGAAATTACTTGAGTCTGTCACTTGTCACATATGACATGGATAATTACGCATCTGAGGCAGCCTTCCTCATGGATGTGCTAGAAGCCTCAGAATATGCTAGGACCCACAGGGTGCAGGAGTCAGGTTCAATGATCTTGAATAAAGAGAAGAAACTAGAATGGAGACCAGCTGCATATATATGTAGCTGTTTGTAACTTGTGATCTTTTCATGGTAAGGCATTCCATAAATTTAAACCAGTGTAGCCACAAGATCTTTTTCTTTTATTAACAAGTTATATACCAGAAAATTACTACAAAACTAATTTGATAGTAGGTTTTCAAAAAAGAAAAATTGGGGTCATTAGAAAGTGTTATTTTTTATTCATATATTACAAAACCAAAGCTTCATTCACAATATGAACTACATACTAGTTATTTCAGCATTAACCTGTTTTTTGGATCCCTAAACAATATAATGTATTACAACCATAATGCAAGATTTATGCTTTGCATACAAAATATGTTCTTACATCAAAGTACATATTAACAAAAAACAAGTTCTAGAAAGCATATACCCTCTAGACTAAAGAAAAAGTCTTTAGCAGGGAATTAAAAAATTTTCAACATATTCATTTGATAAATATTTTTATAGAACTTCAAATGAGGTTTTCTCTATTTTTTAAGTAATATTCCCTTTGTCAAATGATTCTGCAGGTGAATGGCAAACATTTATTTCCAAAATGAATGAAATAGCACTGGAAATAACCACTGGAAATTTTTTCAAAGTAAAAGTCTAGCCTTTACTTGAATTTCAAGAAGTTGCAGCTACATACTACATTAGAAAAATCTGAAATAAAATTATTCCCTGTTAATCTCTTCACAGTTTCTTAAAAAAATATTAGTGGAGATAAATTATCTACCAACTTTAAAAATCTAAACTTATGTTCACTGAACAAAAATAAATTTAGTTTCAGAACATTGCCTGTTAGTGGCAAAGTACTCTAAATAGTGCATGTTAAATTTTTCCAACTCATTTCTATAAAATACTTGATTAAAAATAACATGAGAGGAACATATTCAGTATGTTAGGGAAGACCCTAACATTTTTTCAAATACAGAATTTAACTCAGAAAATTTAAATAAAACCCTAGATCTTTTAAAAAGAATAATCCCAAAAGTTTCTAAGGTAGATTTGTTTCAAAATTTTTAGTGCATTTAGAGTTAATTATAGCCTTTAAGCATTAACTCCTTTGGAACCAACTGTGCTCTTTAAGTAATAGGAAAATTAGAATTTTACATTCTAGTTTGTAAGTATGAAAAACAAAATCATGTTTAAATTACAATGCACCTTCAAAACATCCATCTTTATTAGAAAAAAATTATCACTATTTGGCCCAGTTAATATACAGTTAATAAGCTGGATTTAAGGAGAGTTCTTTCTCTTTGTTTAATGAAATTTTTCATTTTCTATTTTGGAATATTGCTTTTATTTGAAGACTAAAATAGAAAAAAAAATCACAAAGCTTTCAAATGACAACTTGTTTCTTTCTAGAAACTGATAAGCGGTAGAGCAAAGTTATGAATTTGAAAATTGCACTAAAATTGACCTAAGCAGTGAATGATTTAAGCAACAGAGGAAAAAAACCCAGAATTTTTAGTGTCACAAGATTTGAAAAGGAAGGGAGTTCCTGTTTGGATAAAGTGTCTTAAAAATGAGCCTAGATTGGCTGTACAACTACAATCACTCATTTTTAATGGCTTTAGCATTGGGAGAGCAGAGGGCTCATTAAGTTAACTTGGCACTTGGTGTTTTTGTGGGCAGATACCATTTACATTTCCCTTCTATTTACTATAGGAGTAGAGGTCTTTTTTGGTTAAGATATTTTGGTTACAATATTTTCTTTAAGAAGCCAATTACAAGTATTTTCAAAATATGAATCAAATTAAAAACAAAATTTTTGCAAAGTACACAGGAACCAAGTTAGTAACAATATTTTGTTGTTTAACCAAGCTCTCTTCAGAGTAAGCTAGTTATTACATAGTATAAAAACAATAGCCTCCTATTCAAAATGGATGACTCTAGATTTAGCAAGTCTTTAAAAACAAATGTCATGTTTAGATGTTTTATATACATCTTCATACCTTTTTATTCTAAGTGATAATTCAAACACAGTTTCCATATAGTAAGTACTGTCATTGTACACGGAAACTGGGCAAGCTGCAAGTAAGAATTACAATTTGAGGGGCCGGAGATTTAGCTTAGTGGTTTTGCCGCCTGCTGTGCAAGCGCAAGGACCTGAGTTCGATCCCCGGTACCGGAAAAAAAAAAAAAAAGAATTACAATTTGAATTCATAGAAAATATTTTAAATGGCCAACTCTGAAGAGGAGACCAGGATATGTTCTGGACACATATTACTGTGTTACTTCACTATCACATTTTCCCATGTATTTCTATACCCATATTTTTTTTAGAAATTAGGGGCAATAAATGGGTAGAAGGCAAGAAAAGGAAAATGGAAATTTTATTTGAAAGACTGCATCTTAATAATATAGATGACTTCCATAGTACCTCTTTGGTCATCAAAAGACTAGGAAGAATAACAGTTTCTCACTATAGTTATCAACCTCACCTGACACTAGTAACATCAAAATGAATTTAAATGAAAAGTTTAAAATGAAAAAAGGCATCTAGCACTCTACTATATTTACCTATGGTTTTAAAAAATAAGTGAAGTATAAAAAATTTAATGTAAAACTGAGACTTTTTAGGCATTGACTAAACAGATATTTTAAATATTAAACTCGATTTCAATTTAGAATCTTGAGTTTCAGTTCTTTTCAGAACTTTCACCTATTTTTGTAACTTTAATTTTAAAAGAATTGTTTTACATTTCACTGTATAGAAAAATTCAAAATTTACTACTCTTGAAATAGCTTTACTATTATCAGTTGAAATGAAACTACTGATTCAACTTAAGATGTATAAACTAATATTTCAATTAAGAGCAACTTAAAGGCAATTTCTCTGCAAATACTGAAGTAAGTTGTAACAGATCTGGAAAAGAATTTATCCTACCATTTTAAAATATGGCAGAAACAGAATCCAGCAGTAATGTATATATTGAAATATCAAGGGTATGGATAAGCCTTACTTTATGGACCATATATGTGGGAAATTTAAATGAATACCTGTTAAGATAGACTGTATTCCTATTTTTATCTAATGAAAAGAAAAAAATACACATAAATGTGTCTGTTTTAATACATAAAAGACTGTGGCCAGATTTTTATGGGAAAAAAAAGTCAAGAAAAATTTTCCCCACTGTCAAATTTAAATTTTATAAACATAATGAATATAAACTTTAAATTAGCAGATACCTTATGAAGGATGATTGAAAACAAAAACCAAACTACAAACCCCAGAAAAGCCAAACCAAGTCAAACATAATCTGATTGTTTTCAGTGTTGGTTATGTTGCCCTCTTGCAAAATGACAGGCAAAATCATACTTGTTTTTACATTTGCATCCACATATATTACACTGAAAAGGATTTTCATACCCATGACATCCCATATGAATAGTGTAAAGGATATTGTCTGCAAAGTACATGTCACAGTGCTGGCAGTGGTGCAGAAGCTGAGGGTCCTGGATTGGCAGGGTTGGGGCTGGAGTGCTTGGCTGGCTGTTTCCTATGCTGGGAGTACTGGTATGGGCACTTGGTTCACTGCTTGGACCTGCCACTGGACTGTAGTTCCTCTGACTATGTGATGGCCGAGGCTCGGGGCTTGTGGGAGAGGAGCTCTGAGGAATATTTGCTGACACAGCAGAAACTACTGCTTGGGCAGAGGGCTGCTGAATCATGAAAGGCTTTTCATCAGGGCAGGGGACTACATCAGGGGATGCAGGGTTTTGGTTTTCAGGTGGCAAACTGGACAACTGTCCTGCTAGAGTAGAGAGCTGATTTAAAGGGTTGTCAACCATGAGTTCTTGCGGGTCCCTTGGTAGGCCACCAGCTGATGTAGTTTTCGCCATACTTTCATAGGAGTCAGTCTGGATATTTGGGATTTCGTGGGTAAAATCGTTAAGGTAGTCTGGTTTCTGAACCACCATGGAAGGTGGACTTAAATTGATTAGTGCTCTTCTGCTGTAACCCAAATTGCTTGTTTTCTTCTGTAAAACCCCCCACATTTTCTTGCTGCTCAAGGAAGACCTAGTACCTTTAATTGGCACCATTTTATGCTTGCGCCTTCGATGATGGGACAGGTTACTTCGATCGCTGCAGCGGAAGGAACACAATTCACATTTGTACGGTTTTTCTCCAGTATGGGAACGCATATGGGCTTCCAGATGACGCTCATAAGCAGATGCAAATGGACACAAGTGACATCTATGAGGTTTCTCACCTATTTAAAATGGGAAAAAGGGGGAGAAACTGTAAAAGTAGCTCATTTATGTAAAGTTTCTTATTTGTTTGATTTGGGAATTGGTCAAAAGTAAAATGCTTTCCAAAAATTCACATTTGCATAAAAAATTATTTAAATCTGTAAAGCCTAAGTTCTCATCAGCAACAATTTGAGATACACATTGAGACTGTTATTTCCTACAAAATAATGATTCTATCAACAGTATGCCTTAGTTATTTGTTCATACATTTGTCTATACAGAAACATTTATTGATATACACATATATGTAAACCCTTTTCTCCAGGGGAAAAACAAACAAAAAAAACTCTGGAAAAAAAGTCTTTGTATGAAACAGAAAATATAAAACCAAAATAAGCATCCTAGTCCCTGTATGACTTATGGAAAATATCTCTTCAAAATTTCACCACTTTTCCTCCACCTTCTTACTCTTCAGTTGCCAGAAGGTGCAATTTTAGTTAATGCTGTTAGTTGACGATTTCCAAAACATATAAAATAAGTATTTGGAATATGACTTTGGAGTCATTTGTCTAACAAGCCCCAAGCACCTTCTTTATGCCAGATCCTCCGCTAGGCTCTGAGGGTACAAAGATGGGCTCATCATGACTCTTGTCCTCAAGTGGTTTTCAGATTACTATGATAACATGATGAATGAGCACAGAATGCCATGGAGCACACAGGAAAGACACCTTCCCTAATCCTGGGCAAGGACAGGGTATAGTTATGAAAGCTTTTCAGAAAAGGGTTGGCAAAGGTGACACATGGGCTTAGCAGCAGCCTGCAACTATATAGAAACTTTTTCCTTTCTCTGAAACTAAAATGTACTAGGTGAAGATAAAGACAAACATTGTATATTCTCCATACTGCCCTTAGCATGGATCTGCCCCGCCTGACAGGCAGATATTGAAAAATTATGTGGATCAAGCAGAAAAATGGCTAGAGAAGGAGGAGCTCTGCAAGTACCCTCATTTCCCACTGTTTGTATGCCAGTAAGCTAACTGGTTTGTATGGAATGAGGTAACTTCATACCACTGATTTCAATCTTATAAACCTTCACTGGTGAACAGTCAGAACTGTTTATAAGATAAACCAAATGAACTGCGCTCCTTGACCCTTCTCCTGCCCTTAAAGAAATGTCTTCTCCAGCTGGAGATGGTGGTGCATGTCTATAATCCCAGCACCTGGAAGGTTGAGGCAGGAGGATCATGAGTTCGAGGCCAATTTGGATAACACAATCCGATCCTATCTCAAAAACCAGAAAAGAAAGGAAGAGAAAGAGAAATGCCTTTTCTAGGTGTTTCTCCATTACCTGTGTGGATTCTAATGTGCTCGATAAGCCGTGCTGTTCCCTTGCTGGCATAGTTGCAGTACCGACACTTGAGCTTCCCATCAAAAGTCCTTTCAAACCCGTCTACTAACATTCCTGAGTTTTCATCCAGAGAAACTTCAACAGATGGATGATCAAGTCCATTTTGATCGCCATCTGTTCCAGCTATAAACAAAGTATAGCAAAAAAAATTATGCACCTCAGAATCAAGTCTATTTAGCATCTAAGTCTTAATTGGCTGAAAATCTTTCATAAATTCACTTCCTACAAATTAAATTCATAAAATAACACTGACTTTCTGAATTGAGGTTAATTTTATACAAAAGCAAGATTATATTCTAAGAACCTTCTCCAGGGGGATCTCATGAGTTACACATAAATTGAATCAGTCCTCAATATGCTTTTAATGAATAGGTAAGAAGATAAGGGACTAAAAAGATCCATTTAAGAGTGACAGCCTAGTTATACACAGGTGTTTAAGATGCAAGTCATTCCTACAACTATAATTAGCAGTACTAATAGTCTCTAAAAGTCTCTTTAGTCTAAAACAATTAGTTCCACTCAGCTTATGTATGTTTAATCGAGATCCTAAAGTTCTAATTAAGCACATAAAAGAAAATATTTATCTGGTTCCTCTGAATGTTAGGACTGTAAGAATTTCAGAGATAAAGGATGTTTGCGTGTTTCCTTTTAATCCAATCAGACTTTGTTTAAAGAAACCAAAAGGGCAGGTACTCATTAGGAAACCAGCAAACATCAGGGACTACAAACTCTGGTTCCAGTCATCTCTAGCTTTAGGAGAAAAAACTATTCCTGCAGCTTTGTGGGAAAATGACTTCTCCATCCTGAGATGGCAGACACTGGCGTAAGAATTCAATCCCCACTCCACCTTCAATGGGAGAAATGATCTGCTGACTGCAGCGAATCCAGTATCCAACAAGGCTACCACACTGGAGGAATGAGACCCAGTGTCTCCCTTTCTCCCACTGCCTTCACAGCTAGTGACACTCACATTTTGATGTGGGCATAAATCACTTGGGGAATTCACTGAACTGGGATGAAGCCTGGTGTTTCCCATTTCTTTTTTTTTTTTGGTACCGGCAATTGAACTTGGGTCCTTGCGAGACCACTGAGCTAAATCCCTGGCCCCCTGGTGTTTCCCATTTCTAACAGGTTCCTAGGTAATGCCTGAGCTCTGCTGTCACCTGAGATACTCTAGGCCAGAGGTCCGCAAACTTCTACAGGGTGAGATGGTAAATATTTCAGGCTTTGTGGGCTTTGTTTCTATTCTAACTACTCAACTCTGCTATTGTGCCATAAAAATAAGTCACAGGAAATACGTAAATGAGTAAGTGTTCCAATAAAATTTTATTCATGAACGGTGATGTCTGAATTTCACATAATTTTCATGTGCTATGACATTATTTTTCTTTTGAGTTTTTTCTACCATTTTTTTTTGTTTGTTTTTGGGGTGTTTTTTTTGGTACCAGGGATTGAACTCGGGTCCTTGCGCTTGTGCAGCAGGCGGCGAAACCAATGAGCTAAATCCCCAGCCTCTTCTACCATTTTTAAACATAAAAAACATTCTTAGCTTGTAGGTGATATGAAAACAGCAGTTGAGATGAAATGCACAGGATGTAGTTTGTTGATCTAGAGCTAGGTTTAGGAATAGATTCCAGTCTGTGTAGTCTGCAAACCAGGGAGCTTTTAACTCTAGCAGGCTGAGCATTTCTCTGCTATCTCTGATCTAGTTTCTCTTCTTAGGAAAGAAAGAACTATTTGGGTCTCAGGTCTAACCTGTATTTTCTGATCTCATCTGGGTTCCTCAAGGCTACCGTTAACTAAATGAACCTGGAGAACAGGTTTAGAAGCCCTAACCTTCTAACAAGACCATAATGCATCTATAGACTATACTAAGTCTCTCTCTAGCAAAAATACCACGTTTAAAAAAAAAACATGCACTGTACTGTGTCTTTCTAGAAAAAGATGGAATGATCTACATTAGTTAGTAGTGGTCTTCATGGAGAGATAGCTACATACAAACATTACTGAATTTACAAGTGAGCAATGTAGGAGTATCAAGACGAGTCTACCTCCCTGAAGAGCCTCTGCTTCCTTGTCCCCACTAACTGATCCAGAAATCATGTTCACATGATGGGTCTGCTGAGTCAGGTATTCTTGAAAATCTTTCACGAAGTCCAAAGGTTCTGGTTTCTTTTCACCCATCTTTGCCTTTTTTTAAGTTTAAAATTTGTTAGACCTAGGAAAAAAAATTTGATATAATTTTTCATACCCAATACACAATAAAACAAGTGATAAAAACTGTTTTGTGCAAGACACTGTACAAAGGAACAGAAAAAACAGTCAGTGCCTGTATTTAAATACCATATAATATTCTTGAAGAACAAAGACACACAAAATGAAAAATGAATATGCTTAATAATCAATTAAACTGGGATTCAGTCATAGAGGATGGAAAGAAGGTACAAAGAAAAAAAGAGAAATTATTCACAATCATTAAACACTAGAAACTATACAAAGGAACCCAAAACAGTAAATAGATAAATTAGTCATACCATGTTGACACAATGGGCTATATTATAGTGATGGCAAACCTTTTCGAGCTTTCAGTGATACACACAGCCCACAGTACACATGCCATAGGTTCACCACTACTGGGCTATAACACCAAAAATAAGCAAACTTCACCTCCATGAAACAATTTGGATGAATCTCATAATCATAATGCCGAGAGACTAAAGTCAGACAAAGGTTGGCAGTGTATATTCCATTTATATATGGTTGAAGAACAGATGAAACTAATCTACAATGCCAAAAGTCAGGATAATAACCCTTGCCAAAGCAGACAGGACCAGGCACTGGAAGGGACACAAGGGGAGCTCCTGGGGTGCTGGGAGCCTTCTGTTTATTTTGGTGCTGAGGTTATGGACATGTTCACTCATTCATTTGCTTAAGACTTATGATATATTAGCTAAAGCTAAACAATATGCTAAGAAGTGAGTAATCTTTAACTTCAGATGCCTACTATTGGCCATTGAAAATAAAAACGTTTTGGGATAGAAAATTACTCAAAAAAGTTTAAGAATTTTTTTGCAGAAGGCATATTTGGGTTGGTTGCACAGGAATGAAATTAAATATGTATATATTCAGGTTTAGATAACACCAAATAGTTTTCCAAAGTGATTATACTTACACTTCCAACAGCAGTGAATAAGAGTTCTGCTACTTCACATTCTCAATAGGCTATTTTCGACTTTTTCGTTTTAGCCATCCTGGTGAGCGTGTGGTAGTATCACATCAATTAGTTTATAATCCTCAAAGGCCGGGGGTTTAGCTCAGTGGCACTGTGCCTGCCTGGCAAGCGCAAGGTCCTGAGTTCAATCCCTAGTACCGGGGTGGGTTGGGGGTTATATTCCTCAAGATTAATGAAGTTATATACTTTTTTTTTGTGGTACTGCAGATCGAACTCAGGACCTTGCACTTGCCAAGCAGGCGCTGTGCCACTGAGCTAAATCCCCAGCCCCTGAAGTTATACACTTTTTTATTTTTAGTTATATACTTTTTAATATGTTAACTAACCAGCTAGATAACCTCTTTTCAGTAATGTCCAAAGGTTTTGCTCATTTTTTTTCTACTGGGTTGTCTAAAATTTTTCTAGTATATAAAAAAAATTTTTTTTTTCCTCTTTTCTTGTTGTTTTTCTAGTACTAGAGATCAAACTCAGGAGCACTCTACTAGTGAGCTATATCGCTATCTCTTTTTTAAAATTTTGAGACGAGGTCTTGCTAAATTCCCCAGGCTGACCTTAAACTTGTGACCTTCCTGCCTCAGTCTCCCAGGAACCTGAGCTTGCTTATAGGTATGTGCCATCTCACTCTGGTTGTGAGATTCTTTGTATCATGAATATGAGTCTTTTATTAGATACATGGATTTCAAGTACTTTCTTCCACTCTGGTTTCAACATAATGGTAACTTTTAACAAACATAAATTTCAGTGCAGTCCAATTTACCCATTTTCCCCATTACATTTAGAGTTGTGTCCCACTGAAGAAATCCTTGTCTATATCTTATTTGAAAATGTCTTTCTATAGTACCTTCTACAAAGTTAAGTATCTTTTTATCTTTCATATTTTTGTCCATAATTTAGTTTTGCATATATGAGGTAATTGTCAAAACATTTTGTTTTCCAAGAAGATACCCAGTTGTCCTAGCAATGTGCAGTTAACAAACCAGGCTTCGTCCACTATGCTCCACTATCACCTTTCTAAGTCAGATGTTATGTTTATGTAACCATGTTTCTGGATTCTCAACTGTGTTCCACTGGCCTGTCTATCCTGGCAGCCATACCATTCACTTTTAATAAGTCTAGTTATCTTAGTAATTTAGGTTTGTTAGTTTTGTTTTTCATTTTTAAGCATGTGTAGACTATCCTTTGTCCTATTTAGCTTACATTTTAAGAGGCAGAATTGTGGGGCTGAAGCATGAAGGGATTTCACCAAAGTACATTTCCCAGTTTACAAAAACTTGCCCAATCTCTTAAGAATTAAAATTCTACCCTTTGACTTAACTAGAAATCTTCTGGAAACAGACCAACCTTTGACTATGCCAATACTATATGCTTTACAAGAACACTCATGGTATCTTTAGGAACCAATGAAAGACAATTCTTATTTTCTTTTATGTTTACTAGCCCCAAACTAACATTTTGTTTTCACATTTCTTATCTTCCTCTTTTCTTATATCTAATCTGTTCTTTATTCTAAACACATTTAGCCAAGTAAGAATCTGCAGGAGACTGAATTCTCACTTAATGCAACATTTGGGAATAGTTCCTTTCTCTCTCCTCAGAAGCTTCCTGGAGTTTTTAAGAAAAATTATTATTACTATCTTGTTTCACTGTTTTCTAGAAGGCTATTGAAAGTCTATCCTGTGGATGAATAGAATATTTTGGTATCCGGTCAGAGTCATTAGATTTAGAATCTGAACAGAAAGAGACTTATCCCAGCCTTAGTTTCCTATTTTAAAGACTAGGTCAGTAGTAATAACTTGTATGTAAAGTAGTATGACCACTATGGAAATCAGTATGGAGATTCCTCAAAAATATCAAAAATAGAAATGTCATTTGACTTAGCTATTCCCCTTCTAGAAATTTTCCCAAAAGAGTTACAGACAGGGATGGGGATTTAGCTCAGTGGTTTCGCCGCCTGCTGTGCAAGCACAAGGACCCGAGTTCGATCCCCGGTACCAAAAAAAAAGAGTTACAGACATCATATTACAGGGATACATGACCCATATTTATAGCAGCACAATTTATAAGCGCTAAATCACGGAAACAGCTTATATTCCCATCAACAGATGAATGGATAAAAAAATGTGGTATTTATACACAATGAAGTACTATTCTGCCATAGACAACTTGAGGCATTTGAAATAGATGTGCCTTGAGACCATAATATTAAGTAAAATGAATCAGACACACAAGCTTAAATACTGTATGGTTTCTCTTATGAGAAATCCAAAATATAAATAAAGAGCAAAATAAAAGATAATAATAAGCAGGGAGATCTTTTTCATATGGAAAGGGGAACAAGAGTTGGAGGAGGGAGGAGAGGGAAAGCAGATGGGAAAAAGAAAAAAGTTGAAGGGAAAAAAATGGAAGTAGAGCTTTCACAAATGGAAAAGTTGCAAGTAGCAGGGAGGAGGGGTAAGGGACGAAAAAAAGGGAGATGTGTTGTGTACATATATCAATTCCCCAGGATAAATGTAATTATTATATACTGCAAACATGTACTAATAAAAAAGTAATAACTTACAGAGCTATTTTAAGTTTTATACTTTAGTATACACAGTTTCACAACATGTACAGTGTATGGTAATCTTTCAGACAATCCTATCTTTACAATAAGTGTTGAAGCAAAAAATGTACCTTGGATTAAAAATTCCTCGCTATCTCAAAATTTTTCCCTTTTCTCTATCAGTTCATCAGTTTGAAGAATATATTAATATCATCTGCTCTTTAATTCAATGAAACAAACAGGAACCATCTTAGTCTCATTAATTCATATATCCCACTTTGTAATTTCCTAACTCCATCTGCAATTTCTCAAACTCATCTTTTATTTTACTTTTAGGTCACCTCTTTAAGTCACTTTAAATTACTTTGGTCTGGCTCAGCTTTCTCGATTTCACGGATTACTGTTGGCTTTTGAACATGTACATTTCAACTTTTTCCTATCCTACCATGTTTACTTGAACTGACTCTCTGTTATTATATTACTTTTGTTTGTGACTATAGTTGATTTTGTTGATTATCTGTCCTTTAGTTTTTGACCTTTGGCTAGAAAACATGACCTACTGACCCCCAATAAAAAAGATGATCAACAGTAAGATCTAGGAAAACATTTTTAAAATTTTAAGAATTGTAAGGCCCTATGAATTGTCTGTATTCTAATTGTAAAGTATTATTAAGAACAAAATCCCAATTAGGTATGGTAGCACAACTCTGTAATCCCAGTACTCTAAGGCTGAGGCAGAAGGACTGCAAGTCTGAGCCCAGCCTGGTCAATTTAGCAAGACTTTATCTCCAAAAAAATGGCTAGGAATATAGCTCAGTGTGAAGGCCCTGGGTTCAATGCCCAGTGCCACACACATGCATACACATGACAAAATCCCAGTATTCACGCTGTGATTTATCATCTCAGTTCCTATGAAAACTGACACATGTTCCCTGAAAATGAATGTACTTTGTTAGGCTTCAATAAGCAAGATAAACCTTACCAAATCTTGATTAGAAAGCATAATACCAGTAAGTACAACATGTGACAAAGCAGTAAAAACACTTAAGACTGCCAATAAGCAAACAGAAGAAAATGATATTTTTATACATGCATCTCAACTTTAAGAACATAAATGAACCCAATTACAGAGGACAGCTGACATATTTTGACAATCTTGGCTATTATCACATTGTCACATTATAAATTTCACTGTGTTCTCTGCCATAAACTGTATGCTGCTTTTCAGTTATGCATGATGGATTACAAAATTTTTTTAAAGGATTCCAATGAAATAAGGGAAGATAACATTATAAACATGAAACCTGTTTGTAAATTAGAATTTTACACATACAAATATGGTTTATAACCTTACACATCCTGTATTACCTTTGCCACACGTGGGTAAGTGCTTGCAGAGATCTGGGCAGGGTAACAGACCCACACAAATGGAAGGTGCATAAATCCAAGTGGAGAGTTTGGCTCAAACCCAGCTTTCTCCAGCTTATGACAATAATTTTAAGCACAATATATGGAAAAACAGTATTTCTAAACTATAGAAGATGTACTGTTATAAAAAGAAAAGGTAGGCTTTTCTATCCAAACCCTTTTCCTGTCCTTTATAATCATCAGTCTTGGAACTGAAAGTGTAATGTAAGAATTTCACAAATTAACTAATATTGGGAGATGCTGCTAAGGCACTAATAAACTTAAAATCTGTTGCAAACATAATATAAATGCTGTATCTAAGGATTCAAGCAACTGCAAGTAGAAAACATTTGAAAAAATTACATCTGAACTGAATATGTAACATGGTATTAACTATTTACATGTATTAACTACAAATAATCTAGAGATGGTTTAAAGAATACAGGAGAATCAGGTGTGGCACCACATGCTTGTAGTCTGAGCCACTACAAAGGCTGAGGCAGGAGGATTGCTTGAGCCCAGGAATCTGAGACCAGCCTGGGCAACACACCAAGACTCTGTTTCAAAAAACAGACAGACAAAAAAAATTCCCCCCAAAACCCAGACTATATAGGAGGATATGTGTAGGTTATATGAAAATGTTACTCCATTTTGTAGAAGGGATTTGGGGATCCTCTGATTTTGGTATCTGCAAGGGGTCCTGGAATGAATCCTCCATGGATACTGAGGGACAACTTATAAACTTCATGAAATCAGCAAACTCTAATTTTTTTCAATGGTGTTTTTCCAACTGGCCATGAACTCAAAACCTTGGACCTTCTTAGCCAAAAAATTACACAAAATTTCCATGTGTAAAATAATGTCATCAGAAAAAGAAACATATTTACACATTCTCCAATATAATTACTGATTTAGGTGGTGGTATATTCCAAACCAGATTTACTCTTCCTTGATATTGCTACAGACTGTTTGTGTCCCTTAAAATTCATGTGTTGAAATCCTAACTCCTGCCAAGCATAGTGGCGCATGCCTGTAATCCTAGTACTTGGGAGGCTGAGGCAGAAGGATCACAGCAAGTCTGAGGCCACCCTGGGCTACATACTGAGTTCAAGGCTAGTCTGAACTAGGTAGGGAGACCTATCTCAAAAAAGAAAAAGAAAAAGAAAAAAAGGAAAAGCCTAACCCTTAACATAATGGCATTTGGAAGTGGAGCCTTTGGGAGGGTTGGGAGAGCAGAGCCCTCTAAATGGGATTAGTGCCTTTATAAGAAGAAAACACAGAGCTTCCCCTCCGCTATCTCCCAAACAGGGTATAATCAGGAAGCAGGCCCTCACAAGATACTGGACTTGCCTAGTGAGGTTAAATTTCCTAGCCCCAGAACTATAAAAAAATAAATGTTTGTTTAAACCTTGCAGTCTATTGCAATTTGTTATAAAAACCAGGGCTAAAATGATATCTAATTATATTAACCAAAGAAAAGAATTATTCCCAAACCTTAAAATTATCATTTCTTATGATATAGCAAAATTCCCAAGCCCTTCCCATGATTACTCTGATTAAAAGTTAAGCTAAACTGGGCTAGGATTATGTAGCTCAGGGGCAGAGCACTTGCCTACCATGTATGAAGCCCTGCATTTGATCCCCAACACCACAAAAATTAAAGAAAATTAAGCTGAGTCTGGTATGGCATTCCCTCAAGTATATGTATACCCCATCTATATAGAAACTGGCTACATATACCTAAATTATTTTTATGCCAATATATTCAAAGCTCAAACACTTTCATTTTTTTTTTTTTTTTTGAGACAGAGCCTTGCTATGTAGCCCAGGCTGGCTTGAATTCAAAGCGATTCTCCTGGCTCAGTCTCCTGAGTGCTGGGATTACAGGCATGCACCACCATGCCTGGCTGCTTTTCAAATTTGGGGCTCAAAATAAACACTTTTACAAAGCATTCTGCCCAAACCAAAGGAGGAAGAGAGATATTTAAGAATTAAATTTTGATATACCAAAAGAACATGAAAATCTCTTCCCCTTCAACAGGTAATTCAAGCTATTCTCCAACTTTCCTGTCACTGATATGAAGTCCTCTGATCTTTCTTCTTTAGTCTCATATTATAAATGAGAAACCAATCAATACATGCATATATATAAATGTATATATGGTACATTCATACCTATTTACGGCTATATATGCACACATGTGCACACACAACGAACCTCTCTACCAGGAGCTAATTATTTAAAACAGAGATATCCAAATGTGAATTAGAAGGCAATCACTACTACTTGTATGAAATAGATAGGAAAGAATCACAGAAAAGCTCTTTAACCTATATCCTCCAAAGTATAGAAGAATTTTGAGAACAACATTATTAGGGAATGGTAGGGCATGTTTCATTCATCCAGTAATTTTTGAGAAGTGTCTAAAGGTTACTAACCATAAGGAAGAATACTTAGCAACCAACTTACTTATACAATAATTTAATATGGAGATTAGGCAGGCCTATACACACAAAATATATTTTCTGACTTTGATAGCCTAATAATTATGCTCATTGAAAGATTTACTCTTCAAGAGAATACATACTTATAAGGACTACTGGGAATACTGATATAAGGAATACTTGGTTTGTTTACAGTAACATGGACCATCAAAAAATAACTGGAACACATTTCCTGATTTCATAACTGTCAAAAACTTTTTGAAGGCAAAAAGGGACATTGCAATGAGGCTGAGAAATTAGAAAAGCCTAATATAAAAGTAAAACATAAATAAAACCACGTTGGAAGAAATCCCAAAGAGTTATACAATCTAACCTTTTCACCCCAAATCAGTTCCACCTTTTTCTTGCCACTCCAACATTGATGAAATGTCGAGTAAGAGAAATTTACTCTGGAGACACAGCAAGGGACTCCAAAAGGCCATGGAGGGAATTTCAACTAAAATTCAAAAGCCATAGAAAAGTCTGCAAAGAAAAGCACAACACAAATCAAAACCTTATTAACATCTATAGGTGTAATAAACTAATGAAACAAATTGTGCTGATCTTACCATTTCCATTAGCTGAAAAGAAAACCAAGCTGGCAAAGAACAAAGCCTCACTTCAGCAGAACTCAACAGGATCACCAAAGAGTAACATGTTCTCGGACTACTATTGTTTTTTCACCAGCGATTTCTCAAGATTTTATTTTCAGCAGTTCTAAGTGTCTTTCTAAATTTAAGATACTGTTTTCATTTGACACAGTATATTTTTCTAAAAGGGCCAGGTTTAGTACTGTTGAACAGCTTTAGTTGCATAAATCAATGAATTAGCCCTGCATTTGGGAAACAGGTGCATGGAAAGGGTTTTTTAAAAAAATCACAGACCCAACAAGGGCACAATTGATCTCCACCTTCATTATCCTCTATTGCAGTACAGAATAGTTACAGTTTTCTGAGGATACTCTGGACTGATGGGGAAAAGAACACCAACCACCTCACTTGACAGTAAGGCTCTTCCAAGAATATAATGTATTAATCTCTGTTCTGAAGATACGACATAAAACAAAATTAAACAGAATTAAAAAATTGTTAATCTAGATGTTAAAAAAGTTGTTTTGTTATTTTTATGTCTTCTAAATCTAATTTCCTGAGCTCTCGCAATCTAAAAGCTTTTGTGTCTCCTTCCGCTTGTCATTCCTCTTTCACCTTTTGATCTGCACATTAAGGGGTCAATAAATGGACCACACGGTTATTGGCAGCTATAATCAGTTAACTTCAGAGCTACAGTTATCAAGCACTTTCCAGGTGTTTGGTTACACACACTCCAGGCACTTTATCAGAGACCTAAACCTCGAATTAACCTGAATAGTTCTTTACTGCACTGTTCACCTGAAACCTCACATATTTCCAAAATTGGAGTGCACATGCTGCAAACGCGGATTCCGGCAAGATCATGAAATAAAAGGAAGAAGGCTTTAAAAGTCCTCCTAAACTGCAACCCAGGACCAGCGTTAGGCAGCATCCTCACTAGGATTCGGAACACCTAGAAGACCCGTGCCCGAGCTGACCCCCAGCCCCTGGGATCCCAGGAAGATGCAAACCGTAGAGCACCCCGCAACCACCTGTCAGAGCCCCAAGCAGGTTCCTCACCCCTGAGCCTCCAAGCTCCCGCCGCTCGGCGCCGACCCACTTGCGCCCCTCTCCCGGTTTTCGGCGGCCAAAGGCACCAACGCCCTCCGCACTTTCGTCGGAAGGTCTCACCTCGTGACCTGGCTCACTGACAGGTCGCGCACAGCCCTCCGCTGGGTCGAGGCTCGGGCGGGGTCAGCCGGCCGCGGCAACCCCAGTTCTCACCTTCCCCAGCTCCTTCTATCCAACCAGCTCAACCACGGCACCACCGTCCAAGCCGGAAGCCTGCTACTTACCTCCAGACAACTGCACCGAGTATTCCCCACCACCTTGTTCAATGCCGCTGCAGTCGCCGCCGCTCCCGCCGTCTTCGTCACCGTTGCAGCCACCACCGCCATGTTTGTTGTGTCTCCCGCTTTCTTCCCGCCCCTCTGCCCTACCCAAGTCTCGCGTGAGCAAGACATAGGGCGCTAGCGGGGTGGAGGTTACAAGTCTCTCTGGAGGTTCCGTAGGCACGAGGGGGCGGGGTCTCGAGGAGTGTGTGAGGGGCGGGTGCTAGTGGGCAGGACCCAGTTCCCCCTGTCACCGGTGCTTGCGCGCGCCGCGAAGCCACAAGCCTGGCGGAGAGACTTGGCCTGCGGCAGGATGGAAGGACTCCCAGTTCGGTTGTTGCGCGGCAGCGGGCTGGTGAGTGCGTTCGTGGCTAGCGCTTTAGGGGTCCGGAACAACCTTGACCCGCAGCGTGGTCTCCTGTGAAGCCTTTTTCTAAAGGGCCGGGCGCGCCCGCTGAGCTCCCTGGTCGCCCTGGGCCCCGCGCCTCCCTGCGTCTGCCAGGCCAGTCTCCTCAGCCCCTGCACCCGAGGGCCGACCGCGACCCCAGCCTCCTTCTAGGCTGCGGCCGAGCTGGCTTCTGCCTTTTGATTAGGGAAGGCTGGGGAACGACAGCTGGTGGGAAGGAGATTGGGGGCTGACCAAACACCCTCTAAGCTATGTCGGCCAGATGTGCTTTGCAGGTTACTGGGTCCTGAGAGCCCTCGAGTCCCGGATCCCTGAAGCATTTTGCAAAGATGTTACCTCTCCGATGCTTTAACCTACCTTTCCCCAATGATTACATGCCCCCCCCAACCCAAAAGATTGTTAGAATATAAGCCCTGCCTCCTCAAGAGCAGTGCCTCCCTGTCTCCCCTTCTCAGCCTGTCTGAAACTGTAGGAAGGGCCTTAGGGAGTTGGTCCTGTTTGCCAGACAGAGAAACCCTGTGGCCCCATCTCAAGGCTGGGGTGTCACTGGACCGCATCGAGGGACCTCTGAAGAGGAGATGGAGACGTCAGCTCACCTCACACTCTGCAGGTTCTTAATATATCTTGGTAGCAAAGCATTTCAAGACCTCAGTGAGAGGCATAGGCAGATTATGCAGAATCACAGTACGCAGAGGAGTGCAGGTAGGTTCTCCAGGGCTGAGTCGCTCTGTGGTCTGGATTTGGGGAAATTTATATGGTTATGGGGTATCCTTAGGATGAGTGGTCTGGGATGTTTATTCTTTGGGTTATTTATCATTTACCTGTTGTCTGTTTTCTTGTTGAATTTGCGCATTTAGTGGGTTAAAACAAAATTATCAACAAGGTTAAATATAAATTGTTTATATGTATTTAAAGTTTAGAGATAAGGTACCTAAGTAATAGTGCTGTTTCTTTGAGAATGAAATTCTTTGATGTAACTTTTGGAATTTATAGATTTATAGTATCAGAAGAAAAACACAGGCCAAATTTGTAGACAGTCCTAGGGAGTAAAAGGCACAGGTAACCATTGGTAACTGATTCTGTCTTGAGGCTGCCGTTTACTTAAAGCTACAGTTTCCTCAAAAACTACAGTGAGTTTTTGTTGTTGTGAGGTTTTTTGTTGTTGTTATTTTGTTTTGTTTTATTTATTTATTTCTACTGGAGTTTTTTTGTACTGAGCTACATTCCTAGCCCTTTTTTTCATTTTTTCTTTTGAGACAGGGTCTGGCTAAGTTGCCCAGACTGGGCTGGAGTTTGAGATCCTCCTGCTTTAGTCTGCTGAACCACTGGGATTACAGGCATGCACCACAGTCCCCAGTTAGGACCAGTTTTTTAAAACAACAGTTTCCCAGTCTTCTTTTTACCTGTCTTTATTTCTTCTCTCCTACCTCTAGGCCTGGGCATCTTCTGTGGGAGGATCTGTACTACAGTCCAGGGGAGCCCATTCTGGCTCCTCTTTCTCAGAGCCTCCTGTTGTATGTACTTAATCCTGCTCCCTGGTCTTGCACAAACTGTTGGGTCTTCAGCCTTGTATCAGGGTCATTATTGGCATATTAAACATCCCTATCTACCAAACTTTCCCTTTATTGCATGCTTTCCAGGACCCTCACAACTTTTGGTACACTTGCCTTCGTTAATGTAAGTACTTCTTAGGGAATTTTCCCTAAGGGACTTTCCCTTTGCATTTACTTTCAAGAGTTAAGGGTTCTTGGACCTGGCTAGCCAACCCCCCCC